TGGCGTTGCGCCGCTGCCCGGCCTCCTCCATGCGCCGCTGCCGCCGCAGGAACGCAGCCACCAGGGGGTCCAGCTCCGTGCCGGGGGGCGGCGGCTCCCCGATGATGGGTCGCAGCTCGGGGGGCAGCGGCTCCGTCTCTGGTTGTGGGGCGGAGCCGCGTTCAGGTCTGCGTGTGTCCCTGTGCCCCCCCTCCCCGCTCACCCACCCGTGCCGTTGCGCAGGCGGTCGCGCAGCTCCTGCAGCCTGCTCAGGTTGCGCTCCAAGGCCACGGCCGTGGTGTTGACGTAGGTGTACATGAAGCACGAGGGCCGTGCTGACACCGTGTGCACTTTGTGGTACTGCCCCGCCGGCAGCTGCGTGGGGTTGAGCTGCTCAGCGCCCGGCCGTGCGGCGCGTCGTCGACCCCCACCCTGCGCCCCCCCTGCTGCCCACCTGCATGCTGTCCCCCTGCTGCAGGCTGTGGTTCTGCTGCTGCTCCACCAGCTCCAGCAGCACCTGGCCCTGCAGCACGCGCACGCTGGTGTTCCCCAGGTCCTCGCTGACGAAGTTCTCCAGGTGCAAACCTGCGTTGGGGCTGCGGGCTCAGCTGGGCTGGGGGAGCCCCCCCCCCGTTCCACCCCCACCCCCCATCCAGCGCCCGTCCCAGCGCCATCCGACCCAACTCTATCAAACCCAACCCGTCCAACCTGGCACCACCCGACCATCCCAATCCCATCCTGTCCATCCTAACCCCCTCGTACCCTACCACCCCAATCCCATCCAACCGTTCAATCCAGTTCTACCCATCCCAATCCCATCCACTCACCCCACCCGCCCATCCCAGTCCTGTCCAACCCAACCCCAACCCAACCCTGCCCCCATCCCTCCCCAACCCATCCAACCTGACACCACCCGACCATCCCAGCTCCATCCCAATCCCATCCAATCCATCCTAATCGCATCCAACCATTCAATCCAGTTCTACCCAACCCCATCCCAATCCCATCCAGTCACCCCACCCACCCATCCCACTCCCATCCCATCTATCCCAATCCTGTCCAATTCAACCCCATCCCTACCCAACCACAGTCACAACCACCCCATCCAACCCATCCCAATCCCACCCAGCCTCCTCCTAATCCCATCCAACTCCACTCAACCCCGTCCCAGTCCCAACCACCCATCCCAGTCCCATCCAACCCAACTCTATCCCAATCCTGTCCAATCCAACCCCAACCCAACCCTGCCCCATCCAACCCAACACCATCCAACCATCCCAACTCCATCCCAATTCCACCCAACCACCACCCTAATCCCATCCAACCATTCAATCCAGTTTACCCAACCCCATCCCAATCCCATCCAGTCACCCAACCACCCATCCCAGTCTCATCCTACCCATCTATCCCAGTCCTGTCCAATCCAACCCCATCCCTACTCAACCACAACCACAACCACAACCCCCCCATCCAGCCATCCAACCCAACCCCATCCCAATCCCACCCAACCTCCTCCTAATCCCATCCAATCCAACTCCACTCAACCCCATCCCAACCAACCATCCCAGTCCCGTCCAGTCCAACCCCAACCCACCCCCACCCTCCATCCATCCACCCCAACTCAATCCCACCCCGATCCCATCCAGCAGCCCAATCCAACCACCTCCACCCCATCCCAGCCCTGTCCAACCTTACACCACCCAACCATCCTAACTCCATCCCAATCCCAGCCAATCCAACTCCACTCAACCCCATCCCAATCCCAACCACCCATCCCAGTCCTATCCCAATCCAACCCCCACCCAACCCGACACCATCCGACCATCCCAGCTCCATCCCAATCCCATCCAATCCATCCTAATCCCGTCCTACCCTACCACCCCAATCCCATCCAGCCATCCACTCCAATTCTACCCAACCCAACCCCATCCA